GGAGTGTTTGATTCATGTTGCAACTGAAACACAGCTTGCAGGGCAAAATGGCAGCCTGGTGGAGCCCACTTCCTAGGTGGGGGTGGGGGAGAATGCCATGTCCGCAGAGAGTCTTCACTCTGGTATGAAGACACTAGCAACTGTACCGCCTCCTGTGTGGCCTCCACTCGTCGGTTAGCCCCATGTGTCCAAGCTGCTGGACAGTGCTGCAGCAGGAACAGGGGTCATTATTGTCCCGGGAGATGAGTGGGAAAGATTTGGGACACAATTGGTTCTCTCCTCCCTCCATGCTGCTTGCCTTCTGCTCCATACACTTGTGTTGGCTTTATCTGATCGGGAACACAATGTTTTCATGTTGGGGCGGGTAGAGAGAGAGAGAGAGAAACAATATTGCCAAGTTAAGAAGAAGGAACAGTGAAGAGAAGGCAACACATCTATGTTGTGACATTAAGTAACCGGTGCACCAGCCCTCTGCATGGACAGGCTGTGGTGGCCTGGAGAGCATGTTGTGTAGTCAGCTGGGTGGACTGGAGGGACCATACCAGTGGAAATGGTGCTTACTTTGACCATGGTGAAAGAAGGAGCCGTTGTTTCAGACAAAACAACTGCACAATCTAATAAAACTCTGTCCTGGCCAACACCCTGTCCTTTCTAATAGCGCTGCAGCTAAATGGCAACCCTGACAGTCTCTTGGAACATTTTACTCAACTTCTAGAGGGCCTGCATTTAAAGTAAGACTTAGGAGGCACTGTGGGAGTTAGAGAAATGAGCAGTGGTGGGCTGAGGAGCTCTAAGCAGCCCAGTGTGATGGTTTTAAGCCACTCTTTAGTACAATTCCTGACTGAATAGGTTCATCCTGGGCCTGACCCAACAGGTAATAACTTATGTTCTTAGATTCACAGTTTGTGGGGGAGTGCTTGCACCAATATTATTCTTTTTAATGTCTTTATTCCCTTTTTTTCTTTGAAAATGTGTGGAGCATTTTGCCCATAGCAGGGGAACAGGGCCAGCTTCTTCCTCCAAGCCCAAGAATTGGGGGTGGAATAGTGGTCCTATCCTCACTGCGGCACTCTGGCTTACACAGTATCCACATAGTCACTGGGACTTTCTGCTCACAGCCCATTTCTCTCTAGGTCTCCTGCATGGTGGGAACCACATGTGCACCCCTCTCCAGATTTCTCCCAAGCTAGGTTAGAGAAAACCACTTTTTCATGTGGAAATGCTCTCCCTTGGCATCCACAAGCCAGGAGCCAAAGAAAAAGATGAAAGGCCATTAGTAAGTGACCACTTACAGGCCCTTTACTCAGCCTGTGCCTGTGGCATGTCACCATTGCCTGGGAAAGTCCTCTGTTTCCTCCAGATCCTGACCTACTGTGCGGGCTTCCGCTACCCTGTGAAAGATGTCACAGTTCCTCAGAGCCCCAGGAACTCTCTTCAGGAGGAGACAGATGACACATTTTCTTTCTCAACTCAGCTACCTAATAGGTATTTGATCATAAGTAAGTTATTTAACCTTTGGAACATGGGTTTTTCTCTTCTGTGGACTGGGGAAAGCGATCCCCATCCTGCAGACCATGCAGAACTGTTAAAAGGCCCAAAGAAGATGCTTGATGGGAAAGTACTTGTAAACTAGCAAGTATTGGCCACACCTGAATGATGGATTTTGTTTTTCTTGAAGGAGCAGGGAGGCTACTGAGTCAGTGCATTTCTCTCTCAAGTGGGAAGGGTTTGCATTCTTATGTTAACTGCACACTGGAGTCTTGTCCATTTAAGGTAATAATAAAATCATCCTAAGGAAGCCTAACAGTAGCTTTTGGGCAGTAGCATCTGCTTAGCTCCAGTGCTGCCCTTTAAGAAGGAACCACAATGCAGTGTGGTGCTGGTGCACAGCAAGCTCTGCTCACTTTGTCCTTCTCCCTCCCATATCCTGACCCCTGGACATGCTTCCTCTTGAGTCTTGAGTTTTGTCAGAATGTACAGCCTATGTCATCTTGCTTAGCCTGCCCAGGAAGAGCAGCTGTTGAGGGAGGATGGCTCCCAGCAGCTGCCCAATGGAGACCAGGAGGCCTGTGCTGCCAACATGTGTATTAGGGCAGTGAGAAGGTATTGTTGACATGCACTAGGCTAAAGGAAAAGCTTTGATGGATATGCATGTGGTCGCTGGGTAGTTTTTAGGCTCAGAGTGCAAGTCTTGGCGCCCCCTTGGGTTTCAGTTCTGTGAGTAGTTCTCCCAAGCACCAGGGGCATGGTCTCCCTGTGTGGGTGGCCAGTCTACTGTAAAATGGGTTCCCAGCAGGGCAAAGACAGGCTGCCCTGTCTTCTACAGGCCTAAGGCAGTGCCCGTGGACTGGGGTCCCCATAGTCCATCCCTCTTCCTGCCATAGAAATGAAATCATGTGTGGTACCCAGACTTGCTTGCCTGTTCATTCATTAGTAGTACATTCATTAGTTCATTCATTCAGTTAGTACATACTCGAACATTGCAAAGTTGAAGGCACTATGTGAGGTACTTTTGAGGATACAAAGCTGATTACAAAGCTGATCCTATCTATCTATATGGAATTTATGGTCATGTAAGGGTGCAGAGTCTCGTACAAAGAAGAAAATGAAATGAAATATAAAGGAAGAAGAAGCTGCCTGATTCTGTGGCATTGGAGTTAGATGGAAAAATCAGGGGAGGCTGTGCTATTGGCAGGGAGAGCCAGAGAAAAGGCTTGGAGATAGGCCATGGCATGTATGGACGTGTGGGCACTGAGACTTTGGCAAGAGGGAGAGAGGTTAGAAGGAAAGGGGGAACGAATGCTTGAGTACTGCTCTCTACCAAGTGACACCCCAGAAATGTCTCATTCTTCTTTCCTCTGCGAGGCAAACTCTCTTCTCTCCAGTTTACAGAGGAGGAAGCTGGGGCTTAGGGAGTTAAAGTAACTTGATAGAGGCCAGGTAACTATTATGTTGTAGCAGGATTTGAACTCATTACTGCAACTCCAGGGCTTTTGCTGTCTCCACTGTAACAGAGGATCCACAGAGGGATGTGGGGAGAAGGGTCTTTGGCCTTTTTCTGGTTGCATAGGCCTGGCAGTCTCAGAGAAGGAATGTCTGTGGTCCCCATGGAACCAGGCATTGAGGCTCTGGGACTTCTGGGCTGGTCTCAGAGTCCAGGATGGCTGAGCTGGTTGCTTCCCATCCCTGTCCTAGCAGAGAAGATCCTGGAATGAAATTCGGGACATGGTTTGACTGGATTTTCATTCCCAAGACCACCCCTAACCTCTCCTCTTTGTGAGAGCCCTCCCTGGCTCCCCTCCCCTGCATCTCTGACCACCCCTCGGCCCATTCAAGCTCAATCTGCAGAAGGCGGCATGTTCTGCACTTGTTCCTTTGTTGCTGTGAAACAGGCTCCCGGCACAGTCAGCCTCTGTGTGGGAGGACTGGTGGCTGTCTTCTCAGGCAGGCATTTGCTGAGAGCAGGCTGCGTGTGAGCCCAGCGTCAAGTAATTCTGGCTTCCTCGAGTCGACGGTGGTGGACCAGGCTCTACGAGAGGACTGGCTGTGAAGGATGAGTTCAGGGTGGGATGACGGACCGCTTCTGGGACCAGTGGTATCTCTGGTATCTCCGCCTGCTCCGGCTGCTGGATCGAGGTATGCCTGAGAGAGAAGGAGAAAGAGAGAGAGAAAGAGGGAGGGTGTGTGTGTATGTGTGAGTGTGAGAAAGAGAGAGAGAGAGAGAGAGAGAGAGAGAGAGAGAGGGAGACAGAGTCAGAGACACACACACATGGAAAGACATAGCAGAGAGGGAGAAGAGCAAGAAGAGGGAATGAAATAGGGGAGCAGACAACCCATGGAAAGAAAGGCTGTTTTTCTGGGGACATTTGTGACCCAGCTGGGAATTGGAAGCACAGGGCCATTTGCAGAGCATCTGTATGTCAGGATCTCATTTCTTGCTAAATTTTTCTTCAAGCTCAGTACTGTGGTCAAAGACAAATTAAGCCCTGTCTTGCAGGGCTCCCGATAGAATGCCCTGAGAAGCAGTGCAGCAAGGAGAATGGTCCCTGCAGCAAGAGGCTGGGGGCAAAATAAGCTGATTACAAAGCTGATCCTATCTATCTATATGGAATTTATGGTCATGTAAGGGTGCAGAGTCTCGTACAAAGAAGAAAATGAAATGAAATATAAAGGAAGAAGAAGCTGCCTGATTCTGTGGCATTGGAGTTAGATGGAAAAATCAGGGGAGGCTGTGCTATTGGCAGGGAGAGCCAGAGAAAAGGCTTGGAGATAGGCCATGGCATGTATGGACGTGTGGGCACTGAGACTTTGACAAGAGGGAGAGAGGTTAGAAGGAAAGGGGGAACGAATGCTTGAGTACTGCTCTCTACCAAGTGACACCCCAGAAATGTCTCATTCTTCTTTCCTCTGCGAGGCAAACTCTCTTCTCTCCAGTTTACAGAGGAGGAAGCTGGGGCTTAGGGAGTTAAAGTAACTTGATAGAGGCCAGGTAACTATTATGTTGTAGCAGGATTTGAACTCATTACTGCAACTCCAGGGCTTTTGCTGTCTCCACTGTAACAGAGGATCCACAGAGGGATGTGGGGAGAAGGGTCTTTGGCCTTTTTCTGGTTGCATAGGCCTGGCAGTCTCAGAGAAGGAATGTCTGTGGTCCCCATGGAACCAGGCATTGAGGCTCTGGGACTTCTGGGCTGGTCTCAGAGTCCAGGATGGCTGAGCTGGTTGCTTCCCATCCCTGTCCTAGCAGAGAAGATCCTGGAATGAAATTCGGGACATGGTTTGACTGGATTTTCATTCCCAAGACCACCCCTAACCTCTCCTCTTTGTGAGAGCCCTCCCTGGCTCCCCTCCCCTGCATCTCTGACCACCCCTCGGCCCATTCAAGCTCAATCTGCAGAAGGCGGCATGTTCTGCACTTGTTCCTTTGTTGCTGTGAAACAGGCTCCCGGCACAGTCAGCCTCTGTGTGGGAGGACTGGTGGCTGTCTTCTCAGGCAGGCATTTGCTGAGAGCAGGCTGCGTGTGAGCCCAGCGTCAAGTAATTCTGGCTTCCTCGAGTCGACGGTGGTGGACCAGGCTCTACGAGAGGACTGGCTGTGAAGGATGAGTTCAGGGTGGGATGACGGACCGCTTCTGGGACCAGTGGTATCTCTGGTATCTCCGCCTGCTCCGGCTGCTGGATCGAGGTATGCCTGAGAGAGAAGGAGAAAGAGAGAGAGAAAGAGGGAGGGTGTGTGTGTATGTGTGAGTGTGAGAAAGAGAGAGAGAGAGAGAGAGAGAGAGAGAGAGAGAGGGAGACAGAGTCAGAGACACACACACATGGAAAGACATAGCAGAGAGGGAGAAGAGCAAGAAGAGGGAATGAAATAGGGGAGCAGACAACCCATGGAAAGAAAGGCTGTTTTTCTGGGGACATTTGTGACCCAGCTGGGAATTGGAAGCACAGGGCCATTTGCAGAGCATCTGTATGTCAGGATCTCATTTCTTGCTAAATTTTTCTTCAAGCTCAGTACTGTGGTCAAAGACAAATTAAGCCCTGTCTTGCAGGGCTCCCGATAGAATGCCCTGAGAAGCAGTGCAGCAAGGAGAATGGTCCCTGCAGCAAGAGGCTGGGGGCAAAAGATGCAGGCTCAAATCTCAGCTCTGCCACTTACCAGCTGTGACTTTAGGCTGATTTATGTGACCTTTCTGAACTTGCCCATCTGTAAAATAGGCATGGTAAGCTCTGTCTACTAGGGTTGCGGTGGAATTATTTAATTCATACCTGTAAAACTTATAACAATGTCTGGTGCACAGTGGGTGCTCTGTAAGTGCTCATTTCCTCTGTACACACCTCTCAGCATCATGACACTATCCTGTGCTGAGGACACTCCCTCTGTGGATTATCTGTACATGGAGCCAGGACAGAATTTACAGCCATGGGAAGGAAAGGGAAAGTTGGTTTTATTCTTCAGGTTAATGAAGAATACATTTTAATACATTTGACCATCAAATGTTATTGTGATTTAAATTTCCTGGTAATGTGAAATACAGGCATTCTGTTGTAAGGAAAATCCATTGTTAACTTGGTTGAGTAATTGATTTTTTAAAATGTTGAGTGTTATTTTTAAAAGGTTTGGCTGCTTTAAGAGGTTTTGGCAAGAATGCGATCAAACCCCCGATGGAAAAGATGACCCTGGGGAAGCCCTGCTATCCACCCCAAGGTGTGCTCATCTCCATGGGGAACAGTCTCAGGTGTTCCTAGGTCAGGAGGTCAATACAGGTGGAAGCAGAGAGCTGCAATAGCAGGTGAACCAGGGCTTTTATCAGGGAGAAATCAAAGATGGAGGAAACCAAACCGGCACATGTGAAAACCAGTCTCTCACTAGCTCTGAGAAACAGGCCCGTGGGAGCTAAAACTTGAGATGAGATGCGAGTGTTAAGGAGAGAGCCAGAACTTCTTGCTGGTGGTGACCATAGACTGGGGGATGGGGAAGGAGACCACAGGTGTGACTCTCCCTTATGTGTGTGACCTCAGGCAAGTTTCTTCCCCTCTTGGTGCCTCCTTTCCTTCATTGTAAAAGAGGATGATGATGATAATACAGTAATAGCACCAACTCAGAGGGTTGCTGTAGGGGTTAGGTGAGAAACTGCAAGTGAAATAACTTATCCTAATGCTCTGCATGACAAAACTGACCTTAAGTGTTTGTTTTCATTGCCAAGGCAGTTCATTCTCACTCTCCTGTAAACATCCTGGAAAAGACAGGAACAGATGCTATATAATAACCAGGACCTGAGAAAAGTCCAATTAAGAATTGTTAGAGATTTAGAGGTCATTTATACTTATGTGAATTAAAACAAAATTCTAACTAACATATGAGGCCAATTATAAGAAGAAACTAGATATTAGTGCTTAAGCTGTACTACTACTAATTTATTTCTATTTTTTAGAAAATGCTTGCATCCAGGAGTTGCAAACTTAGGTTCAAGTTCTGGCTCTATTATTCTCTAAGTGCCCTTGAGTGAATGATTTTTCTTCAAATTGAACCTCAGTTTGTTAATCTAAAAAATGGTATTATTAGTAATACCAATAACTATATTATAGAATTTTGGGGAAATGTATTGTTAGTGCATGTAAAAGTATGAGGTTTTCTTAAAAGTGTCAGGTTCATGAATTTATGGACTGATGGATAAGCCTATGCCCCCGAATAGCAAAAACTGGTTGCCAGAATTATGTGGTCTTCCATGCATTTATGGCTGTAATAGGAAATTTTTGGTCTTTCATAAACATTATCTTCAGCCCTTTTTTTAAAATGTGAGGCCTTAGACTAGCAGCTCTTTGCTGTGTAGGGCAACTTATTTCCAGGCTTTTGGGGGTTTGGTATATGTTGCCTAGTTCTGGTTAGTGGGTATCACAGTATTACACATGTACATGTGTGCATATGTGCACACCCTCATCCATGTTCAAACAGTTTGGGTATAGCAACATCACTCCAATAACTAGTGTTAGCTAACGTCATATAGACAGTGGCATGCTTTGAAGTGGCCCGTTGGACTGAACCAGCTCATGGACATGCTCAATAAATACTTATTGAATGGGTGAGGATGGAACCCATCCTTCTGAGTACTGAGTTCTCTTGGCTCCCTCTTTAGTGTAACAGAATTTAGCTCCTTTCATCTGTGTTAGGATTTTATGTCATTTCACCCTCATCATTGTCCTGCCTGTCTTGCCGATGGGTTTCAGCCCCAGGGAAGTTCACTATGGATTCAGTGATACTGGGGAATGACAATGGAATGTTCTTGGGGTGAAAGGGTTTATTACCCATTTTGTTCTCCCAGTGATAGGTCAAGCACTAGAATTATGTTTGCACCCAACAATCTGCAGGTCTGTAATCCTCCTCCTGTCTCTGCTTATATACTGAATCAGCCAATAATAGTTTATTGCTACAGGTGTGTAAAGCAGTGGCCTAGCAGCAGGCCAGTTACATCATCAAGTAGTTTAGGGTCAGGTGAGGAACCCCAACTTTCTCTACACTGCCTCATGTCATCTTGAAAGTAATAGGCCTTAAGAAAGTGAGGAGGTAATAAGAAATAGGAAGAAGTGGGAAATGATGAGTGTAGTCCAGGAAGTTGAACTAATTGACAAGCTGTCTGCAGTCTGAGTCATTCTCTTGGCTGTGACTGGGGATAAATGAACCTGTGCTTTGACACACCTAGGAAAAGGGAGGAAACATTAAAACATGTCATGGAGTGGAAATAAACTTTAAAGAGAAATGCCTGGTGATTGCTGATGCACCTTGTGTTTCCCTCAGCATTGTTCAGGTGAGGGCAAGGATTTAAAAAAAGTAAAAATAAAAGGGATTGTTTTCTAGGGCTGTACTTAACTATATTAAGGATTTATATGATAATGAACTGCCAGCTTGCTTAGGCATGATTATTTATTTCATTAATAGCAGATGCTATTTTTATGGTGTTTGTTACTGGGTGCTTATCAACTCTGCTGATTGTGTTCTGTGCTTATAGATGGTGACTAAGGAGATGGTTCCTAAGGTGGGGACTGTCCATTGAAAGAAAGGAGCTCATACAGATAAAAAATGTGAATGGTATATAAGAGACGAGAAGTAACATTGTTTTTTGTGGTTGTTGAGTTTTGGTGGGTCCCTGGGGACCTGACAAATGGCTGGCCGCATCCATCCAGTGCAGGTTCCCTTGTTTCTGCCAGCCCTGCCTGGGCCTCACACTCTGCCCTGCCTTCATCTCTGGTCCAGATGTCTGCCTCCTCCAGCCTCCCTGCTCCCTCAGCACATTCTCTGTCCCCAGGGATCCTGGAAAGGCATAGCCTCATACCACTTGCTCCTGAAACAATACCTGATATTCCTCTATTGCCCTCCAACCTGTTGCCACACTTCCACCCTTCTCACCCTGATACCTGGCCAGCTGTGCCCTTGGATCTTGGGTTTCCCGCATCTCCCTGTCTTCTCACTTAAGTGCTTTTTCCTCTCAGGAGCCACACTGTCTTGTCTTCTTTTGCTCTTGCCTTTTATGTCACCTTGCCATTACCCCTGGTCTACTGGTTTCTTTTAAAAATAAGTTTAAGTAAAAATTGGAATCGATTTAAAACAGTATCAAGGAAATAACTGTAGGAGGTATGGGATATGGTGAAATGGTGACAGAAGTATAAAATGATGTGTGTAAAGCTTAAGTGCTATGTTGAATTTGCAACATAGGTTTTAGACTGCCAATTTTTTCTTGGGGCTTTATCCACATTTCTGTAGCTACCGCAAAGTGCTGTGAATTCTTGACCAGAAATCAACTGGTTTGCACCCCTGGATGTACATTAGAATCTCTTGGGAGCTATTGAAAAGTGCAATGTCCAATTCCTACCTTCCCACCCACATCCCCCCGCCAATTAAATTAGAATTGCAGGAAGCGGGGCCTGGACAGTGGCATTTTTAAAGAGCTCTGTGGGTAATTCTAATGGTGGCCAGCCTTGAGAATGGCTCATTGCCATCCTTTAATATGGATGCCAGAGAGTAAAGGCAAAAAGGACTCTTCAGCAGAATAACAAAATGAATAAGATCAGTCACCATATAAAAATAGTAACACAGGAGTAAACATAGGAATGTTCTAAGGCATAAAATGTAAAAGAACACAATCCTTTGGTATAATTCAGAAACTTCAACTAAAATCTTTTTCTATCACTACCTAACTAAATCTGACTTTCCTTCACATCCCCAGGAAAAAAAATTACCTGTGCCCCAGGATATTGTCTGGCCCCAGCTTGCTTTGGGTTTATTGCCCTCTGTTCTGGCTGCTGGGGCATTGGAGATTGGGATGGCAGTGTTACTGCAGATGTCAAAATCTTTCCTTCCTTGCTTAGGATAACTGCAGTAGGTGGCCACTGCCCATATTTAGCTAGAATTAGAGAAAGAAGAATCCTTTTCTTTTTCCAGATAGATGTGTGGCAAGGAGAGTACTTTGCTCCAGTCTTTGTGGTGTTGGGCTCTGCTGAGCCAGAAATCAACTTGGGTTTCTCACTAAAATTCACCTCTCCCTGTGTAGCTGTTCTCTATGGCTTTGCCTTCAAATCTCCTAATCTACGGATTTACTCTGCCCAGGTGCATCACAAGGCCAAGGAGCAGCTGGTCCTCATGTCTGAGGCTCTCAGGCACCCTGATCTTCAATCATGTCCTTCCCATGCCTGCAG